AGAGAGAGAGAGAGAGTATATGAAATTTTCACATCAAAGCTAAGGCCAAAGAGAGAGGCTATATTTTTTCATTAAGTATTTGAAACTTTCACATCAAAGACAAGGCCACAAAGGATGCATCCATACAATCACCCGGAGTAAATAAACTTGCATTCTTGTTTGAAGGCCTCATGCAACTCTAGTCCATTTCATTCTGTGAATCTCTTCCTGCATTCATGCCCTAGCTCTCCATATCACCTGCTGGACTCAGGCTAATTTCCCGAACTGTTCTTTAATGTGCCATCTTAGAAATGGGACCATTTTCACGCTCAAGAGAATTGGGGGGTGTTGATTCGGCCTTCAAACCGAGGTTCAAATCCAAGCTTGAGCTTAGTTGTGTTCCACCAGGCTGATCCTTATCCACAGCCTGAATCTCATTGTGGGTCAAATTTTCAGATCGACTTCTAGCCAAATAATAATAACAAAGATAAAAAACACCACCAAGGCATTGAAGCAGTTATGGTAGAAAATTAAACCACCAAATGGTAGTAAGGTATCATCAAATCGCATTATATCATCAGATTATTAACGAGACCATCATCCATAGGATCATTGACCTACCAAACACATGATTTTAGGGAAAGCTTGATATAACCAGATCGTAGTTTTGTTCAAGAAATAAATGTTCTAATACCCAAAGGAAATGGGCTAGCTAATGCTGCAAGAACGCCACAGTGAAGTCAAGGCAGTAACAGTACGTTTAAGTATTTTTTCTAGTCCTCAAAATATTCCCAAACATTAAATACACAACATACCATGAAATTTTATTGACTCAAGAATTGAAGGAATGGTGTAATAAAGTACATCTATATAGGCTTCCCAAGGGGAAGTCTGTGCAAGACACAAGGAGGCAGCAGCAAAAGGTGAAAGGGAAGCATGACTCCTTGTGTTTTCTAGTTTCCTCAAGCATTAGGATGCTATAAAGCGATGAGGATGAAACTGGGAGTTTTGAGAAGTAGCTAATGAGACCAAATGAACCAAGGATACAACCCTCAATCTATAATACATAATTACTTGAATATGTAATATGTGGCAGTCACTTTTTTCAATATATTTCAATTTTGTCCTCAGCCTTGTATACTTTAATTACGAGATATTTAATGTCATACTAAGTTACTGGTCTTATACAGCTTGGCCTCAAATGGCTGGTGTTCGAGCATATTTATTTCTCATTTTCTATACGGCAGCATGAAGACCAAATGCTAAAATGTGCATTGACTTTTTACGCTTTTTGTGTACGAGTGTAGAAGTAGCTAATATGATATGCAATAAGAACGAAGCCATAAAGCACACTAAAAACTCTTCCTCGTGCCTTATCACCTCTACGCCCAAACATTTGATGATCTCAATTTCACCACACAGACCCCTAATTGAATTTCAGTCTGTCTGAGCAGTGAAGGAACTGACCAGCACTCCACCCTTTTTCTTCATCTTTACAGAGAGCAAAAATACTTTGGAGCATGATTAAAGCATGAGTGAGTGACAAGCAATGCGCTTAGTCACTATCTGCAAAAGGGTAGGGAGCTCCCGGTGTTTTGAGTGCAAGCTTCAAGGATCTTTTCCCTATCTAGGAGCAATTCCTAAAAAGTGGGAATCAAGATCCCTATCTAGGAGCATTGGATGGAGACCCCAGAGCGGGATTGACATCTAAGTTGGGAGATCTTGGTGACTACGAGCAAACCTGATGCTTGCATATGATAACAACTTGGGTTGTCATACAAATTCAAATTTAGACCGCCGACTCAATTTGTCATTACAAATCTAACTTCGGATAATGATGCCCAGCACTCAAACCCAACATATTTATCCATGGAAATTGAAATTGAGAGATGAGGTTGTATTGGGTATGAGTGCCCAATATTATATTCATTTTGTAGAAGAGCATGTCGCTGTGAGGCTCTACTCGTGATCTTATTTGCTTAAGGGCTACATTGTGCTTCCAGAAAAAATAGAGCTAAAGGCTGACAAGGCAGCATCTTCAACTGTTCTTCTTCACTATGGTTTGTAACATAGTAGAACATGGTTTCATCTAGCTGATAATTAGATTGTGTATAGGAAGCAGAGAGTGCAGAGAGCCGACATTCTGCAGGCTCTACTCTACGATCTATTGGGACTGTCTTGCCTGTAAGGTGAGTTGTTTCGTGTCTTATGATGAGGGCTTGTTTTGTGAGGAAGTAAGCTTAAGATAGTCCCTCATTCAAGCAAGTATGATCTGTTTATTACTAATACTAAACTACGCAAGGGAAAGGCAGGTAGGGGATGGGCTCAGCAAGTGAAGATAAGGTTCTGTCTCTCCCGTATAAGCAAGCTGAGTCTATTAAATCATATTCTATTCCCTGCCTTTCAAGCAAACATGGGAAATAGGAAGTTAGTGCATGAGAAGGGACAGAGGAAAGGAATCGTAATGGCCAGTCCTGAGCAAGTGAAGGACAAACGAAGCCAAGCAATTATGAACAGCCAAAGCAAGTCAAAAGTTTAGTAGAAAACAATATGTTTCTTGTATTTTCTCCTATCCAGATTGTTTCCTAAGCATTCGCAAGCCAGAGTCACAAGGCATGCTTACATGGAGGTTCAACCGAATTGTTCCCCATGGCTTCTACTCCCACCATTTAATAGAGATGTCCTATTTTCCCCATAATCAGGGTGCATCCAAACTATGCCTTTAGTTTCATGAATTCAATGGAAAACTATCCACAAATAATTAATCCTGCCACCATACAGATAATTTTCTACTAGAACTTCAACACATGTAATTTGTCTCCATAATTGGAAAAAGAATTAGAAGGTTATTCAGACGTACCACTCTTATGGTTAAACATGTCTAGTTGTCTACATGCAATTTTGGAGGCAGAATGACACTCTCCACGTGTGAAAACATCCTATAACTTCATTTGTGTTATATAAGAAAATTCAATAGACAAAAACAGTATACAACAGTTTGTCTATAGAAGTTTTCTGTCACTTATTCCCATGTCTAACACAGTGTCCTACGTTACTGGTAGCCAAAAATACTATGTAGAAGTAAGAATCAGATTTTGAATTTCATTTCCATAGGAAGCAAGATTTAAATGCTTGTAATGGCTTCAAATTTAATTGTGTTACCTGCATATTATAATATAACCTGTACCAAAACGAAAAAGACAGTTTTTAGACTGTCAAGCAACTTGGGTAACTTCTTTACCTGAGCATCCTCCATGGCAACTTCAGTAGGCTCAGCTTCTCCATCTAAACCCTCATGTTTGGTAGTCCCAGGAGATGAAGTAGTGGTATCACTTGGTTTTGTTTCTTCATCGACTTTTTCAGATGCCTCCTTTCTCTGCTCTTCAAGCACAGCAACCTGCACTTTCAAATTCCCACAAAAACATCCAATGACTTTAACTCTTTCTAGGTGGGTAAACATGGGATCCATCCCAATATCAGGTGGTAGAAACCGAAACTTGCAAGGAGGAAATGACATAAAACTAGTGGATGTTATTTCTATTACAAAGAATCAATACTTTTTGAGTGGAAGTTAACAATGAGAAATTGGAGTTGCAACATACAAGAATGACAATGCGCACCAATTTAATAAGAACGCCTTATGAAACCTATCATACAATTGTCATTTGTACACATTTAATAGTGCAAGAATATACAATGGTTACTGGCTTACTGCCAATGAGCCAGTAAACTAATAAGGAAGGAATGTGATAAGCATCAAGATAGCTTGCCCTTAATAATCAAAAAATATGAATAACAAAAATAAGATAGCATTCCCCTTCAGCCTTCAGTCCCATGTGATGCACTGGAGCATCAAACACAAGTTCTATTATACAAATTATGAAAGATGATGCCATCAAGCATTTAGTTACTCATGGAGTATGTTTGCTGTCTAGCACACTACTCACATTCCTCATATATGCAATCCAAAGTAAAAGGCATAGATTTGAAATATCTGCAAAGAATAAACCCATGATCTTTCTTCAAAAAGAATGAACTCAAACTCTATGGTGGAAACCAGTGTTAAAAAACCTAGACTAGCAGGGTGAAAAGGCAATCCGGAAAACCAGTCCGGATCACCGAATCCCTTATCCAAATTGCCGAATTGAACCAACTCTCTAGTATAAAAATCAGTCCATAAAAAAAAACAAAATGAAAATAAGAAGAAAAAAAAAAAAAGGACAAATAATAAAAATATATAATGCGTGGGAACTAGGCGATCCAGCGGTTCAGATCACCTGGTTCCATAATAGACTCAGCCGGTTCCTTCGCAAAACCCGGTGAGTCCCAAACGAACCAGTCTACTTCCCAGTTCTGACAAGGAACCAAGTCAGTCTAGACCGATTCAGCTATTCCCGATTCGGACAGCCGGTTTTTTAAACGCTAGTGGAAACCATTGCTTTGCTCTTTTCCAGGATGGTGTTTTTGCCAATAGAAGGCTCTAGGATTAAGCAATTGAGAAGGAGTATAGCTTAACGCTACGAATAGAGTGTCGCAAGAATTGCATTATATTGACGAGTAACCTCCTCAAAGGTGTTAATGAGAAAAGGATTCAGAAGAAAATAAACAATAGAGAAACAAAGCAGGTAAGACTGCATAAGCTTAGAAATAATCTAGTGGCAACTTGCATGAACTTTGTGCATTTTCGCAGGGCTTTGTATCCAGTAAAACAAGATTGGGGAAGCCACTGGTTTTCTCTTGACAAAACAATCCAAGGAGTGAAAATTGGCATAATGAGAGGATCCTCAACGCATTAAGATATGAATGAGATCCATTGCATAAAAAATCCTAAAATACGTAAGATGGTTAAAGACCAAGATACCAATAGAGGAAAGATAATTTTTTGCAGGTTAATGAGCATGGGACAGACAAAGGATTGGTTTCAATAAAAGCTCGGGTTCAGACTAGCCACATCCTAAGCCCAATTCAGCCACTTACTCAACCATGTCCACAGTCCGACTCAACCATGCAAGAAATACATAAAGGGTTGTGACTTGGTTAAATTCTCCTGAGTGTCAATGTTTTTTATCTACACCCAAAACCCTTCAACATCCACATGACTTGGACGAGTTTGAACTCAAGTCACCAGTTTTTTAATAATTAGATGTGAAATTATCGAGCCATGAAGTGATGAGATGTGGGTCATATCATAGTTACCGGTATCTCCCAACTTGGTGGCGACCCCAAGTTCTGGATCTGGACCTTGGGTGAATCTCAATCCTATAAGGGGGGAACACAATCCCAATCCCTTAGGGACTGGTCAAGCCTGGGTAAGTCACCAAGCCATGCTGCACTTCATCCAATTCACTAAATCCTATAAAGATTACAAAATAAAACCAAAAAATATCTTTCTATAAAAAAGTCAGGAACATCTAAGGTTTTCATTTAAATAACGTGGGAAATATGAGTTGACTCAGGAGTTTTTGTGAGTTCGAAGTTTTCAAAAGTGTTTTAAAATGCATGATCCGGATCAATGTGGTTGATGCTCCGATGCCACGATGCAGCTCAATGCGTCCCGATGAGGGCACATGCTTAACACAATGAACATTTAAAACAGAGCAATCCATTCAATCTCATATAAATAATCCAAAATTCCAAATTTAAATGTTAAACTCCAAAGAGGCAAAGACCAAAACTTTGTGATCAATAAAAGAAAACGATAATTAACTGTCATCTCTCAATCAGACACGTCATCAAATACTTGAATTCTCATTTTCTTATTTTCTTTTGCAATTTTTTGGCTATGCATGTATGCCGTAATTGCTTGGGGGTGCTTTAACATTCCTAGTAATACATGCTAGATGTTCTTTTTCTGGAAAATATCCCCAATATAACTATTCCTACATAAAGTACAAATAAGGCAATTTCAATCCTTAGGGCTTTTGAGTTGAGCATATTTCTACGCCAGATTCTTGTTATTCGAAAATGATAAAGGTATTGCCCCAAAAACAAGTACTACAAAATGAAAGACTTACCAAACAACGCAAAGAAATTTTGATTCTACTCGGACCTTGAAAACCTTAGATTAGTTGGTAAATGTTAGCCCACATACCTTCCAAATAATGCCAAAAACATTCTTAAATGATAGTCCAAAGAGTCCTAGCTTTTTCAAAAACTTTGGATTAAAAAAAAAACAAAAATTCAAAAGTTCGAAATTTTTGGTTTTTAGTCACCTTATGACTATGTAAAATACGTCTAATGCGTTTTTGCTTTCTTTTTTTCTTTTGGGAGGGGGGGGGGGGTGGGGAAAAAGAGAGGGGTTGGGTGTGGCTTATTTTCCACCCATGAGCACAAAGCACATATGCGGGGGCATCATGAGTGATGCTATGCAGCCGCATATGTGGGTGCATCACATTTTTTTGCACATGCAGCCTGAAGTGATTCACTCTAGGCCGCAACACATTTCGTGGCCGCATTTTAAAACAATGGTTTCTAATCATTTTCTCTTTTGAGGAATAATTTTTTTTTTTGAGGAATAATTAGAAACCATTTTAAAACAATGGTTTCTAATCATTGCATGGAAGAATCACAAAATTTAAAAAAATTTGCATATCCTTAACTGTTGTGTCGACATTTTGTTATGCCATCTTGTAGAAATTATGTCAAAAAAAGGTTTCCAAAGAGAGAAAATAAAAATTTTTCTGGAATTAAATCTGATAGAATTCCAAAAAACAAAAGCACCAGTTACTTAGGTACATTGCACCCAAGAACTTGAGACACAGAGTTTTCAGGTAATCAAGAAATGGGTGTCTGTATCTGTCACGTCCAAACAATGGAGGAAATGTGTTTGTACATTAAGCATAGTATTCAAAATTCTAGTTGGAGGGGACATTTTTTTTTTAGGCCTGTTCATCTGGTTCCTACCTGAAGACACAATTCATAGGTTTTGGCCCACTAGACCTCATTACGTTTTCTGCATAATAAGCATCTCCCTTGAAAATTGAACACCATCACCAGCTTTTGACATATCAGAAGAAACTAATAATAGGATTTTCAACGAGAAGTTAACCAATACTGGTGTAGGAAAAATTGCGAAACTGATTCAGACTCATCCCAGTTACCCAGACTCTACAGGCTGCCAAGAGCATAACCAAGCACATTGGAACCGGCCGAATCTGGCTGGCTCCCAACATTTTATTTTTTTGGGGACTCAACGAATCTCTATCAGACTCGGTCGAGTCTGCCAGATCCAACTGAGGCTAATGACTCGAGTCCTTTTTTTCAACATTGATCTAACATAATAGGACCATATCAAGAACAAAACGATCTCCTAGGCAATTAGCACAAAAGACCGAAATCATGAAAAGAGAGAAATAATGAAAAACAGAAAAAAAGGAGTATTACAGCGTGAGATAAAGTGGACATCATTGTTAGTTATGTTAGAATGCAACGTAGGGCAGTTCTGTAATTTGTATATTTTATGTTGTTTATATATTGTAGAGTCATTTACTGTAATATATAAAGCCAAATCTGTCCTTACCATGATGTAACATCACATATGTTACAATACAGGTGATCAATTTTAATAAAGATAACTCATATTTCCTTCTTCTTGAAGATTCATCATCTCTTTTTCTCTCCTGAAACATATTTGTTCTTTCATCATCTCTTTCATCATCCTCATCCTCCCTTCCTAAGCCTTAATTTCTCTCTCAGATTTCCTCCATATTGAGACACTTACTGTTCATGTTATGGTTAACATTATTGTCCATTCTACTGTTCAAGTTACTAATCATTCTACTCAGTGTTCGAATATTCGGCTGTCCAGGCTTCTAGGTGGCTGCCAGCCAGTTGCCTAAAACGCCTAGGTGGAACCTAGGTGGAGCTTCTAGTGGTCAATAGTGAGGACTTTTTGATTGAATAGATGAGGTTTGGGCCGACATCGCTTTCATTTTGATATTTTTAGAGCATTATGCCATTACGATATTTGAATAAAAGTTTTCAGTCTATAATGTATTACATTTTGAATCATTTGATTTTTGTTTTTTTCACTTTTTTTTTCCATTTTATGATGTATTTACATGTCTATAGTTGAAAGATTGATTTTTTTTTTTTGTTGTGATTAATTGATTATTAACTCGTTTGGTCGATGAAATTGGTCTAATATCGAATGCTTTTATGAATAATTTGTTCTTATTTTGTACAATATGTGATGTTTTGATATCTTAATAGTTTTGTTTAACATTTTTGCTATATTTACATACTTGTAGATGGAACATTTACGGATTTGGACTAGAACTTTGTGAATAGTCATAAACTTTGGATGAAATTGATATTTTGTGAATATTTGATATCCACAACCAAATCTTATGGATATTAATTAATAAATAATAATTATATTATACCTTTTATCTTAAT